GTTGGATAAATTCACCACAAAATTGATTGGGAGATGTAAATTCACCCGATTGCTCAATTAGTCGATGCAATAATCGATTCTACAAGATTCAACAGTAACAGCTTTAGCTGCCGTACACCTGGTAGCAGCTAAAATCTTGTCCAAATATAACGAGGAAGGTACCATGGTACAATAGTGCCTTGAGATACAAGTTGAATTCCTTCTGTGACTGCGCTCACAGTTTAAAAAACTCAAACATAATTCCCCAGTAAAATGAATGAAAATGCCATTAATACAGTCCGGTATCCACAAGGGAAAAAAAAAACCCAAAAATGGCAAATGTAAGGTGTTTTTCTGTTTAGGAAAATAGCACTTTACAATCCAGTGATGCCTGAGCAACAAGTGACCCGATTTAGGAGTTTATCAAGATATACGAACCGTCGATGCTGAGAGGCGAGTATGTGAGATTATTGTCTGTGAAAACTCCAAGGTTCTGGCAGTAGGGTGAGGGTGGAATTATCAAAGGAGAAGTGAAAGTTTGGAGTTGGTGAGGTGAGGGATTTGGGACCCATTATGATCATGTCACATTTAGTACAGTTAATTTTGAGAAAGGCAGTTTGAGAGAGTGGACTGGGCCTGATGGGCAACGGATTTGGCAGATAAGTACATGACAAATCCATTTGAGCAGGGTGTCAATTTCTCCTCGATGTATGCTCTTCGCTATATCACCTCTGCTAACCTGCTTAAAAAGCCAGTGCTCTCAAACTGGCAGTGGAGAAAGGATAAGTGTGCTCTAATTAATTCATCCTTGGCCATTTTGACCACGGCATGTCACAGACATTTTACAAATACTGTTAGGGGCTGTTTTAATTTGTGGGAAAATCCAGTAATATGTATCCCTAACCAGCGAAGAATTCAAGCGCTCATAAAACAGAAAGCTCCTATGGGCGCTGTGAGGCACGGGGGAGACAATATAAGCGAAGATGTTCTACAGTAGCTGCCGGTGAAATACAAATATGTGTGCGAGCGCAGCTCAGGCTTACATAACAGCACCTCGACGAGCAATATTGAGCACATCCGCCAGTTCATTCTGCCACGCAGATCATATCTTGCAAGTTGTTGTTTCGAGGTTTATAATCTCTGTGTGATCTGCCTTGTTCCCCACCGCAAAAATAGTTTTCTGCTGTCATCACATTTTAATTAAAATTTCATATGATCGCGGCTTAGCAGAGAACGCTGTGCCTGCCGACATGATTAGATGCTGTAGTAGCGTATTTCTATCTTTTGCTAACATGCTTATTAAATATTGTTGTAATGACTGCGACAAGCAGGATAACTGATTTTGAAATTCTCGAACATTTTTGTGTAAATCGAAGCAGATGCTGTTCAGCATCATCGGCAAGCTGGTGCGTATCCAAGCTGACTGCGGAAGAGGTGAAGGTTTGACCCCTCATGTCAATCAAATATTCTGGCCAGCTTTGTGGTTACCCAAGACGCATTCTGAACACGAGCTGCAGCGTAAGCTCTATGAAATTTATATTCATTCAAGGGAATACGCATGCGTTGTTGGTAACCACAAGGATTTATGGATCCATCAATCGTGTTTTTCCCTTTGGGAGAATACAGCTTTGTCAGTCAGACCCTATTTTTGGGGTGAGGTGTGGGACTTTTGAATGAATGGGATACATACTTAGCATGAAGCACCTATTATTTAAGGCAGAATGAATAAGTTGACGAGAGCCTTGTTCAACCTTGTCTGACTTTTTTAAATGTTTTTTATGCTCTTGGTCTTGACTCCCAGAAGCTTTGGTCTTGTCTTGGACTCACTGAGTTTTGATTTCGGGCAAATCCTGAGCACGAGTCATAACTAAGAGACCCGTGCAGTGTTGCATCACTTTGGATTTGTGGTCAGCACAGCTTTTGAGTAGATGATAACGATTAGATGATGAATCTCAGCTTGTCCTTTTGATTACAGAGGAGAGAAAAGCCAACAGTCGGACAAATTTAATGACCTAACTCTCAAACAGAATATACGTACAGTATGTGTGGGTGGTGTAAACACAGTGTGTGTCATGGTAGGTACAAGAAGTGTGTGTGGCAATCCGAAGAGGATGATGCAGCTCCTGGAGTGAATGGTGAGTATGTAAAATAAAACCATTGTTGTGCAACTCAGGCCATGCAGTGAGTCACCGTCACTCATTGCACTTATTTTTAGTCGTAATGTCTGTGAATAAATTATGATTTGGTCATCAAAAGCCCTTCCTCTGTCTTGTTTTTTTTTCATTTTATATAATTTATGTTGTCACAAAAGTAATCATGCCATATTAGCTATAAGATACCATCTATTATTGGTGACACAATAGTGAGCCTATAGCATTATTAGTAGTAGTAGTAGTGGTAGTATTAAGATTAATCACAAGAGGTAATGCTTATTGTGATTGTAGTAATTAAACCTCAACTCATTGGTCATTCACACAATATTATTGAATTATTTCTTGGCTACATCCACTTCTTGCTATTCTGAAAAAACATATCTTTTTCAAATTTCGGAAAGTGGAAAATACAGTACTTAGCTAAAAGCTTATTTCACAGCATGTGTTTCACAACACAAAATCACGAAAAGTTCTCCTTAAATGGGATTTGATTTCTGTTTGCCTTCATGGAGCCTGCCTGGGGCAAAAGAGTCAATTCAGTTTGCTTGGTTCCTCTTAGGCAGATGCCTGATCCACAGTTTGAGTGGAGTGCTGCAGCATCTCTTTGCTCTGTGTTTCTTTGCTCATATGACAGGGACAACATGTCCTTGACAGCATCTGGCCGCAGCGAGAGCCCAGCATTTACATGTTAATCTCCACCACTAGGCTCTCATTAAGACTCTGCAGACGGAACATTGCTTCATTCCTGTCAGAATGGACGGGAAGTGGGGAATGGCTTCATGTTGGATGTGCATTTTTGCATGCAGTTTTACACACACACACACACACACACACACACACACACACACACACACACACACACACATATATATATATATATCACATCATATCATTTGACATTAAAAAAAGAAGATAAAGTGCAATCTGTCTACTGCAATGCAAGACTGGTTTATACAACTGCACGTGTGTGGTAAAATCGTTACCTAATTTCATGTGGTTTGATGGAGCAAATTGTAATCCCTCCACAAGTGCTCGAGGATATACACAGCCGCCCGTGCACTTTCAAACATTTTATTGAACAAACATTAAGGAACCAAACATGGAACAAGCAGTGCTGACACGCACGCCACAAGCAAAATGGCCGGGTTAGCGAGTTAACAGCTAGCCAATTCTACACTTATTTGCTGATTCCCCTGTCACTCACCAGGTCAGGCCCCGCCTTTTAAAGCCAAACGCATGTAAAATCACAGATACTACAGTGTAGAATGTAACAATAGTAACTCCAAGTCAGGTCTTAAGACTAATTATTATTATTATTATTATTATTATTATTATTATTATAATACAAGAAGATTGCCCCTGCGGAAGAGCACATGTCAAGTTTAGTGTCTTTTTTAAAAATTATTTAAGAGACCCTCTGATCCTAAAAATACTGCAAGTATCATTCATACAGTCAAATGTTTTTTAGGCAGCCGGTGTGGGAATTGTGATTGAAAGAAGTGTGTCTGCGTAAACGGAACATGACAGTGGAGGAGACATTTCGTTTTATGCAGGTTTTTGGTGCGTTTACAACTGTAACCTTTAAATCATTCTGGAGCCTATCCCAGCTGCCTTCGGGCAGTAGGTGGGGTACATCCAATCACACTCACAATCACACCTTAGGACAAGTTAGAGCACAGGTGTCAAACTCAAGGCCCGGGGGCCAGATCTGTCCCACCACATCATTTTATGTGGCCCGCGAAAGGAGATCAGACATGTCACCTTCCATGATGCTTTCTAAAATGTCGATCAAAAATTTAAGTTCTCATATAAATAAGAGAGATATTCTAAGCATTTTCTTGTTACCAAACCCCTCATTACAGTAACTTAAACAATAGTTGAATAAATCGTTATTATTGACTTTTTTATATGGTTTCAACAATCGTTAAGGGAAACGGTAACTAAAATGTGGCCCACGACAAAAATGAATTTGACACTCCTGATTTAGAGTGTTCCATTAACCTGCCATGCAGTTGATGGAATGTGGGAGGAAACCGGAGTACCCAGAGAAAACCCATGCAGGCACAGGGAGAACATGCAAACTCCACACAGGAAGGCTGGAGTGGAATCAAACCATGCACCTCTGCATTGTGAGTCCGGTGTGCTAACCAGTCGTCCACCATGCCACTCACATATTAAACAATAGGAGAATTCTCCGGGTTTTGTGAAATCACAAATGCCGCCAGAAGTCAGATTGTCTATTTTTACTGGTCAGATTAAATGAAAACGACATATATAAATCATCAAATTTAGTATAGAGTGGACCCCTGCATAATCCCAGTTACACACCTGCAAATTTGCACATTCATTGCTTTTTTTTTTTTTCCAATATTTTTTTATAGTTTGGGGGGTTCCCCCACCCTGTATTTCATGGAAAACAGTGAATGTTTATCAGTGTTTATTTCAAGACCATCTGCACAGATTTTCACTATTCGCAGTCTATATCCCACACGGATACCAATGCTCCAATTTACTGTATGGACACTACTTTGCATATTCTGGAAAGTGGAACGTGAACGCGTTTTATAGCTGGGCTTTTGTAGTTGTAATTTTGTGCGTTTCTGTTACTCAACGAGATTCATAGAAAATCTCAATTTTGGCCAGCCATTTATTGCAATTGTGGCTTTTACTTGTGTTTGTCCGCAGACTGCAAATCATTCCTTTTCAATATGCCATTCATTGTGAGCATGCTGCTTTATGATCTGTCTGCTCTTCTCACTTCACATCTTTGTCGCCGCTTTGCTTCTGATCTTTTCGTGTGTCTCTCCTTTGTGTGTGTGTGTGCGTGTGTGTGTGTGTGTGTGTCTCATCTCCACTCCTCGCTGTCAGTGTGCGACCATCGTCCATCTCAGGGCAGCAGCCCACCTCAGCTCCCAGTACTCCCACCATGGTGGTGGGCGCCTCTGCCCTCGCCACTCTCTTCTCCAGCAGTCTGACTGTTCACAGCTTCGTCAGTCTCCATCAGTACTGCTGCCCCTCGACTGGCCCAAGCTTGCAGCGGCAGCACAGGTAAGGAGGCTCCTCAAGATAGAAATAAGTTACCTGCCAACAAGCTCCCTTACACAAATGCCTCTGTCACATCCTTCGGAAACAGCACTACCTGGACTTACGAGTGCCCCGTTTTAAGAAATTCTCAAGTCCTGGGCTGTCGGTTGATTGATGTTTTTTGTTAGCCTCTCAAAATACTCAATTAAAGGTGGGCTCTTGACATTCACCTCTTACTGTTCCCCATATTGCTCCCAATCTAGACGATTCGGACAGAGCTTTCAAGAGCCACAGAATATCGTTTTCTGTGACAATATCAGCAATACAAGAAAGAGTCTGCCAGAAAACCCAAAATAGGAATTAAAATAAAATTTAAAAAACAGCACATTGTGTATTTTAAACAAGACAAAGTTGCCCTCAGCTTGCTCAAACCTAACACCTCGAGGGAAACACCATAGTCAGGCTAACATTTTGCATCAGTTTTGCAGTTTTATAACCCTCAAGCAACAGATATTCGAACACACACAGTGTGCTAAAGATGTAGACAAATTTAGCAATAATCACAGGGATATATTCTTCATCCCCTGTAGAGAACAACCATTATTACTGCTGAGGAGTTCAAATCTCTGAATCTATGTTTAGCGATTTGGTTGGAATATACTGCCCCCTGGTGACCAAGGTACACACACCAGATAGGGTAGCACATTGTCCATTTCATTGAATCAAAAAACGTGACCAGAAACCATTTAATTTATTACATTTGATTTAAATACATCTTGACCGTGTGTTTTTATAAAGTACTATATTGTTTATTTTTGCATTTCCCATTTAAAAAAAATATTACATTATTTTTCTACCGCAGGCTGGAACTAATTAATGGTGCTTTGAAGTAATTTTGCACTTAAGACTAACTGCACCTTAAACTCAGATTCTGAATCAGAAATGTATGACTGTCATAAATATTGGTTCAACTTTCGATTTAAAATCAACATCAGGTTTTAAGTTAAGCAGTCAGCTACAAATTCAGCAGAAAAATGTCACTACTGGGTCAGCGGGCCAGCCAGGCCAAAGCAGTTGAGTCAGCAGCATCCAACACTAGCCTACCATGATTCATGGTTGGCTCAGATTGATGAGTGTTTTTTTTTTGATGATGATGATGATTGCTTTGGCCTGACAACCTCCGCTGTAGTGACCCAGAAGTGATGTTTTGTAGCTGAATGTTGAATTTTTTTAATCTGAAAAGTGTACACTGAAAATTTTGATGGAAACGGAATTCAATGTTAATTTTTCAGATTAAAAATCTGGTATCACAGACATACTTCCATCGTTGTTGTTTTATATATAATGTCGACTGTCCCTTTAGCCATATTGTGGACAGAGATTTGGCAATTTATGACTTACTCATGAATTCCCATCACGGGTACCCTTCAAAAAACAAGGCAAAGAAAAAAAATCAAAAGACACTTCAGAGGCATTGACCTTGAAGATTCCACTGTACTCTACAGTATTTGCCCTGATTTCAAAATGTTGCTGAATGTGCTGTCCATGCATTGTCACCATTTCTCACTTCTACCACTCACTCTCTGCTTTGTTTGTGCCTGACGCTTGTCTTCACTCTCTTCTTTCCTGTGGATTGTCTGCCTGCCCCTGTCCTCCTTTCCTTCCGTCTCTCCCCTCCCAGAGTGGAGGGGGAGGATGAGGGCGCCCACCAGTTCTGTTGCTCAGCTTCGGGCTGCAGCAGCCCCTCGTCTCGTTGAGCCGAGCCAACGCATCGCCGACCGCCCAGAGTAGACGCAATACGATGAACCTAATAGTGTGCATGTGGCCATTTTCATTGACTGTTCATTTGCTCTACCAGCATTCCATTGGTGGATAAGGCCTGTGTACCTGTTATATAGTGGCACCTTGATTTACAAACAGTGATGGTCGTGTACCGATACTGGCCACATTTTGGGTATTCATCAATGTTGCCATTTCCCACACACAGTAATAAGATGTGCTCTTCATATAAGCAGCAAACATACAAAATATGATTAGTAGTGATTCTTGGCAGTTGGCAAACCATCTTAAAGGTACACCTCAAGGAAACCAATGTGAATTGATGGTGCCGGATGCTGTGAATTTTCCTGACGCTGAGGTCCTGAAACACACTCGTATCTCAAGACAAAAACTGATCAAGCATCATGAAAAACTCAAGTCAGGGCATTTGTAAGCCAAGGCACCACTGTTTATCTTTCATGAGAACTTTTCATGAGAATTTTTCTCAACCCCCCCCCATAAAATCTAATCTATCTATCCATCTATACACACACACACACACACACACACACACACACACACACACACACACACACACAGAGAAAAACCATTGAAAAATACTCATTACCTTTAATTTTTTTGAGTTGCCTTTTTTTGCCAGGCATTCTTTTCAGGAACTTACCTTGGTTTGCCACAATCAAATTATTTTAGCTGCCCTAAACAGTGTTATAACCTTTATCACACATGCAGGTTGTAGAAGTACTACACTCGTACTGCTTCACCCCACAAAGTAGATGCAGGCCTCACAATTTGTTTTCAAGGAATTCAGGGTTGAATTTAATTGATATCATCTGCTTTTTCTAATTTCCCATCGTTAGAAAAAGAAATATGGAAAAATAACCTCCACATAAAACGACGGATCGTTTCACTGAGGGAACCAACATGAACTGATAGTGGCTGGATGTTGTGAAGTTTGTTGCTGCCATGTAGTGGTGGAACGCCTGAAGTTCACTCTTAAATCAAATTTTGATTACAACGCAAAGCAAAAAAATCAACCAAAGGACAAGCTCGTAACTAGAAAAACTCTGATGTTGACGGACTTGTGAATCAAGGTACCACTATATGTTAAATAATGTTGATGATGTCGTCTTTCGTGCTTCTTGCATTTTTTTTTCCTTGTCCCGCTGCGCTCTCAAGTTGTCGGAAGGCATCACCATCATCCGCCGTTGCACTCATTTTACTTGATTCTGGATTTGCTCACTTGTCACTATTTGTTAGCGAGCCGTTGCCAGTGATGCA